GTGGGTGAGAGGTGTGGGGTATGGGGCTTTCCCTGACATGGTGGTTGTTCTTTCCATGGTACTGCCACCTTCACACCGAGGTGACACTGAAGTTAACTGGCAGGAATCCTTGACCTGCTTGAGGTAAAGAATCTTAACAATGGGATACTGAGGTTGTTTCAGTCAACAAGTGAAGTTTTGGCAAATAGGGAATTTAGCTGGATTCAAAAGGTTAGCTGTATTTGCCAAAGGAAAAAAACCTGCTTCTTTTTGATGATACACACACAAAAGACAATGAGGTTTCATTTAAATAAATAAATTGACAACCACTGCTCTGGAGGCTCTGGATGTGAACCGGTACCAGCAGCGTAAAGTCATTTCAAAGCAGAGTGAATGTGATTTTCACACCTATCCTTTTCTAATTTAGGTCCTTTTGAAATCCAAGCACTCCGCTATTACTAATTTGTTATGCCAATATTAATTAATGGTTTTGCTCTACAGCAGTAAGAATGCTGTTTAGACTGAGATAGATTAGAAAGACTTGAAGATTAGTAAAACAATCTGTAAATTGGTCAGATGCAGTTGGGAGCCACCTTGATCTCCTGAAATGAGCACACTGCACTTGGAAACTCTGGGAGTGTGTTGTGTGCATGAATTCCTGGCAGTGCAGACTCATTAGAGCTGGTTAGGTCAGCACTCTCTGATGTCGCCTCCTGTTTTGGAATGTAAGAACATGAGCTTCAAAGGTGGGGAGAAACAATTGTCAGACTTGCATAAAAGCTGATAATTGAAGAAATTGCATGTTATTTGATGGACAGTAAGAATTCAGAACAAATGTGCTAGAAAACAAGGAGCAATATTTAGTGACTTATAGAAGGTGCAGTGATTCATTGTAATTTCCATTCTCCTGACTCACTTTATCTCTGCCATGAGTTTAGCAGATCTCCAGGCTTCTATCTTGGCTATTTTGATCAATATGGTATGCCCAGCCTCAGATTATCAATAGTATTTATCTTGCACTTCAGTGCATAGTACAGATAAAATATTTGGTTTGAGGAAGAACTGGCAAATCTTTTGACCATTTCAGCTGGTTCTTGGATTATCTCTTCATCCTATACATGGGCAAGAGCTCAGGTCTCCCAGTCACCATTGTGGCTGTATGAGACTCACAGAAGTGGATTAATGCACCGCTGATGGCAGTAAAGAAAGCATGACCTCAATTATTTTGGCTTTAAATTATGAGATTAATTTTTTTTCTGGTGTAAATTGCAATACACTTTTTTTTTCCTTTTGGGTATAAGTTTGCAGTTAGCCCAAACACATTGTGCAGCAATCACAGGAAAAAAAGTCAGAGGCACAGTGATGCTTTTTTAAGAAAGCACTGGTTTCGTAAAGTGCTCCCAATTTCACAGCGTGTTTTCAGCATTAGCAGGTGAGGGGCAGGAGAGGCAGCTGAGGAAGCAAGCTGGATGGCAGATGACCCAGGGAACTGACCTATTTCTGGCTTTGCTATTTTTGTAGTTCTTTGTTTCATCTGATTCCGAAGAGATCAAGGTGATAGGATTTTACATCCATGCTCTGCATTTCCTGGTGGTTCAGGAAGCCTCCTGTGTAGACATCACTTCTCAGGACAGACTGGAAGGTATAGAATCATAGAGTCATAGAATTATTAAGGCTGGAAGAGACTTCCAAGATCATCGAGTCTGACCTTTGACTGAAGACCACCATGCCAATTAACTGCAGCACTAAGTGCCACATCCAGTCGTTTCTTGAACACCTCCAGGGATGGTGACTCCACCACCTCCCTGGGGAGCCTACTCCAGTGCTTAACTACTCTTTCAGTGAAGAAATTCTTTCTGATGCCGAGCCTGAACTTCTCTTGGCACAGCTTGAGGCTGTGTCCTCTCATCCTGTCGCTGGTTGCCTGGGAGAAGAGGCCAAACCCCACCTGGCTACAACCTCCTTTCAGTTAGTTCTTCTTATGGTGCTTCTTTTGATGTTTAAATTGAATCTCCCCTAGTCAGCAGGGAAGTGTCTGTCAGTCCAAGGTCATGCCCAAGGCCCAGGCTGAGGGGTATCAGGTCCCCTGGAAGCCCCGATGAGCAAGGTAGAAACATATGTTGTTCAGAGGCCCAGCTCATAAGGCGTCTGACTTCTTTTGACACTGTTTTGGACACTGAAATATAAAAGTTCAGGATAACTGGACTAACGGTGTTACAAGATTTTTGGCTATTTCCTGTTTCCAGTCAGGCCGTAATCAGGAAAAGCCAAATCGTGACCACCTACACATCATTGGTAACAGCAAGGGGAACAGGAGCAGAGACATGCAAAGTTGGAACAGTCTGTGTAAAGGACAAATACAGAGATAAATACACTCTTGGATTCTGCAAAATACTCAAAATATAGGTGAAAACTCTTACAGCTGATCTTGTTTACCTCTCACCATAACCAATGAGATAGTTGTTTGGTATTCCAACAAACAAAATGAAGCACATGAGAAGAATGAATGGTTGGATAGAACAACAGTAGCTCCTTATTCTGTGAAGAAATCAATCCTTCCCAACAAATTCTACCCCTAAGCTGTTTGGATTTCAGGGTGCTCTCCTGCTTTTAAATACTTTTGCACATAAACCAAGCCTACTTAGCAGGAATACTTTTGAAAACTTGGCTTGAAACCTGTCCTTGAAAATGCGGTTCACATAAAATCTGGGAGACAAGAAGGAGCTGAAACGTTTGGAACAACAAGCTCTGACCACAGCTCATTGAGAGCTACACTCTCCCCAGCATGGTTACACCACTTTGACTGACCAACCAGCCAGATGGGCTGAATGAAGCAGTGAGCAAAGGCAGTCACTTGAGGAGATGCTGCATAACACAGTGAGAACAAGAAAAGATGCTTCTGGATTTAGTGTTTAAACTGTAACTCAGCTGAAGTCAGTGGAAAGAGGTCTGTTGGTTTCTATGGAAGTTGAGTTATGACTTAAGGGAGCAACTCAAATTCAGGTTTTGTGTCACAGCTGCTATATCTGTTGATGAGACCAGCTAGTAAGGAGGTCAACAGAAATCAGCGTTAAGGCTTATCTCCCAATTAATGTGCTGAATGCTGGCATTAAAAGGGCCCGAGTAATCTCGTAGTTGGACAATACATAACCACTCAAAAAATACTGACAGAGAAAGTTCAGTGACACCTTTTCACTGACATTTATACTTCCATAACAGTGAGAAGAAGAAGATAAGGAGGGCAGCAGTCTACAGAGAGGAGAAAAGGCCATAAAAAAGGGAACATCGACTGAAGAATGTGCCACCCAGTGAACAGTTGGAGACTGAGGTAAAATGTGATATTCAGGTAGAAGGTGATTTTGAAGCCAAGCAACCAGGGAGTATTTCAGAGAGTTCAGGAACTGAGTCAGTGATACTTGTGGTGCAGTTTCAGAATGTGACAAACCATCAGCTGAGGAATTTACCTGCTGACATACCCAGCAAGGTTCACTGGGGCAGCAAAGCACTCAGCAGAATGGGACTGCTTCTTACCAGAATTAATTTGGGTAGGAAACACTATGAAACACTCATTGAAAACTATGTGTGCTTTGAAGGAGCACTGGAAGGATGAAACTGCCAAGTTGGCCAAGGTTTCCAAAATGCCTGCAAAGCACGGTGTGAACATCACTGCGATTACTGAACTATGTTATTATCCCGCTGGTTCGTGGAGTTTGCAAAACAGAATTAAAAGAAAGGGGTGGAGGGTTATGGTGTATTTTAGAATTTCTCATATTTGTCATGTTTTCTTTTTGGAAACATAGGAAGGAATCTTATGGGTCAACAAATAAATTCTTGGGTCCTGCAGGCAATCACGTCACCTCACGTCACCTCTCCTGTCAAACTTGTTGAACATATAATGCACACTTTTACTAATGTTAATGAGAATTGCTACTCATAATTTGCATTTACACACTACATAAGGATCTTGAAGTGTTCTTTCATATAATATGCTCATTTTTATTACAGGCATGTTGAATTTAAATGACTTGCCTAGGGTGTCACTGCAAGCTAACAGCAGAATGACTCTTAGTGCTCCTAGTGCTTTGCATTAAACCCTGGACATTAACAGCTTTTTTCATAAAGGGAGTTTTGTAATGGTAGATCACCTCCCAGTGCTGGTGAATCAAACCTTTTCTGATAGTGCAAACAAATCAATAAATTACTTGAACACATGTAATGCTTCCCAGTGTCTTCTAATCCTGGCTTCCTTTGAACTTAGAAAATTGATACAAGTCTGAGTAATGCTAAGATAGCCTTTGGCATATGACCAACTATGAAATTCTTATGTGTGAAGTATGTACCTCAGATCTATATTTTCTGTATGAATACAGAAGTAATCTCTACATTTGTTCCAGAAAAACTTCAGAGCTTTCACTATCCCTTGTGCTGTTGGAGGCATATATGAAAACAAAAAAAACCCTAAACAATACAAACAAAGAAAAAAAACAAACAAAAAGTCGACTCCAAAGGTAAGTCTATAATAAGCAAAAATCCTTAACTTTTCCAATGGCAGAATTGCTGTGATACAGACACATTCCTTGTCATTGCTGTCTCCTCTGAATGACATGGTCCTCATAAAAAATTAACTCTAAAAGGAGGAGATGGGACATCCTTTTGTTTATGGTCTCCTTTCTGTAAAGAAAGACGCAGTACCACAGAATGACCTGATTTTTCTGCCTGTGTCAATGCTATCATTGTCTCTAGAAAATTGAAATGTTGATATTTCCCCTTAAATTTTGGCCTCTCATCTATACCTCTTATGGAAAGGGTTGAAAATTCTACCCAACGATTTCAGGATACTATTTCCAAGCTTTTGCCTGTGGCATCTGGCTCTTTCTATGAGAAAAGAGTTGTTTTGTGGCATGGTACTAGCTGTAACACCAGAGGAACCATCTGGTAGAACAATAACACCTGCAGCAATACCAATCCCACTCATCAAAAGGGTTCCTCCAGCGTGGTGGTAGCCACCCAGGAGCTCTCACCTGTGGCAAATGGTGACATTTACTCCTGCTGGGAATGTGGCTGGGCAGCCGAATGTTAAAGAGGGCCTGCAGGGCTGCCTGTGCTGCTTGACCCTTGGCCAGCTTCTTGCTACGTCCTGAGCCCTCAAACGTTCTCCCGTCCACTCGCACGGCCATCACAAAGCTCTTGATGTGCTGCTTCTCCACCGTCTCTGACAGGCAGACGTACCGCAGGCCCGACCGCAGCTCGTTCAGCAGCACCACGGGGTTCTTCTCACTCTCGGCTTTGGATGCCACCCTGTGCTTGCTCTGCTTCCCGTGGCCCATTAAGTCCAGCGTGTGGCAGAGCAAGCGCCCATGTCGGTAAGCGGTGGAGAGCAACTCGTTGTTAACGGGGTTGTAGACTGAGAAGTCCTCACTGTGTGTAGATGGTTCAAACTCCTTGAACAGAGTGTCTGGAAAATCTGCCTGATCAGAAGTAAAGTCCGTGGATGGGTTGATGCAGTTTCCCATGGCGAAGTGGGCTTGGCAGGCGTTGGGGAACTGAACAAATGACTTCAGGGCTAGCTCTGCAGCACGCATTTTGGCTTTCTTTTTTGTGGGCCCCGTGCCTTCAAAGGTAAGTCCATTTACTTCCACAGCAACAGCAAAGACGGGAGCATGCACTGGACCAGTCTGGGAAACCATTTTATATTGTAATCCTGGTTTAAGTTCGTGTAGCTGAACCAGAGCGTTCTTTGGCGTCACTGACCATGAAACTTTCTTCCAGATGAGCTGGAGTTTGCAGAAATGGCCATTATTGCCTTCCTCTAAGGGTCTTTTTCTCTTACTGCTAGGTGTTCCCCCTCTTGCCCTCTCAGTAGAGGCTACTGGATGATCCTCCAGGTTGCCAATGTTTCGATTTTCCTTTACTTCTGCACTGCTGGTACCTGTCAGTAAAGAAAGAAAAAAACTCATATTACAGTTATCATCATAGTAGCTGACATTATGCCTAGGGCTGGCAGAATAGCCAAAAAAGAAAACAAAAAAAAAAGATAGATATTCTTGTTCATCCCTTTCTATGACTTTTCCTCCAATATTTGTATAATGGTTGGTTTATTATTTATAGCACAGATTTTTTTGCATGTCCTGGATGTTTACTTGTCTCTAAAGGTCCACTTCTATTAGTCATTAGTCTTCTGTTTTTAAAAAAATTACATCATTCAAAGATGAAGCATAACAGATGCCACGTGACTTAAATGAACTGCTGGATAATTACTAATAAAAAGTGAATAGTTTGTAAAGTTCCCTTAGGCTTTCTATAATCCATGTGGATGAATACTTATGAACACATTATTAGAAATCAGAAATGATTCCCAAATGATTCACAAACAGAAAAATGGGCCAATGTATTGAATAATCTATTTGCAATGAATAAATTGACCATCCCTGCTCATACCATAGGCTCTTGTGCTGTCATGAATCTAGCCTAGAAAATGATCTAAAAGACCTTTCTAGCATTTGAAACAATGATTTGGTCTGGACTCATGTCCCAGTTTACTAAGTGAATGCCTTTCTATCAAATTCAATTGCAGATACTCATAGTCTCTGCATCATCAAAAACTAATCTAAATGAGACCAGGAAAAACCAGAGCATCATGATGGGAACAAATACTGATGTAAAGGATGATCTGTGTCAAAGATGGGAGAGAGTGACTGCCAGGAGCACCAGGAAGGGAATGAAATGACAATGGGGAGCTATGGAGGGAGTACTCTGTTGCTGTTGTTGAGCCAGTGAATCCCCCAGCGCTCTGAACTATGCTTGTGCAATGTCCGTGCTGCGAAGCAATGCCCTGCTGCAGCAGAGGCAGGACTGAGAATGGAGATTCATCTCCCTGAGGTCCTGAATGAGACACAAAATATGCTGCTGTCTAAATAATCATCCTATAACATTTCTGTCATTTCTGATGAGCTTGTTTAAATGTGTTGCACCTCTGATACATCCTTCAGTGCTCCTGTGCATTCCTCGCGGCAGAGACAAGTGGAAAAATTAAATATGAGCGTAACCAACCAACTTATGAGGCAACTCATCCCTGGAGCAATGCACCTCCCTTTCCAAGCAGAGCACTGTGTGGTTGCCTGCTTTACTGCGACCAGCACTGGGCATGGAGCCTTTCCTGTGGTTTGTTATTGTCAGGCATGAGCATGCCACCTGCATAGGCTGTGTCAGTCCCATGCTCAGAGAAGGTCCCTGTGGTCCTCAGAGGACAGAGAATAGTCCTCCCTTTGGGAGGGACCATGGCCATGGTCACATTTGGTTTCCTCTCTGCCCTGATGTACAAGTTGGCTGCAAGGATGTAAGGGGTGAGATCCCTGCATAAGCCTTGAGAAACTTCTGCTGGAGGGGTGCATCTTTGCTTCATCTCAGTATTAGGCTGGTCTGACGGATGCACAGGAGCCTGCAGAGGATTATGTGGAACAAACCATCATGATAAAAAACCTCCTTTTACATCCTGACCCATTGCACTTGTATTAAATATCAAGAGACTTTTTCCCATCAGAGCACTAATGCTACACTAGTGAAAGTTGTTCCACAGAGAGCAGATTACTGCTTAGACATGAGTGAAAATCATGGCTCAAATGACGCATATGGAGGCCCATTTGGAGGATTGAGTCTTTAGGCTTCTTGTTCTGAAAACTCTTCGGCACATAGTGAGCTTCCAGCCTGTGTCTGTGTCTCACAAAAGGTACTTGGAGAGTTATCTTCTGCAATGCTTTGCTAAGGCAGAATGTGAACTGACAAATTAAGGTCTTAGTGACTAGTTAATTTTTAGTTTCTGAAGCTAAGGGGGGAGAACGAAGACAAATGAGGAAGGAAAGCAAAAGAAATACATAATAGAAAAAGGAAAGTTTCATCATATGGCATTCAACTGTATAAATTATAACATCTTTAAAGCAGCCTCTCTGGAAATAAGACATTTAAAGGTCACGATAACTAAGGCACAAGGATAATGCGGTGTTTTTTCACTGAGTTCACAACTCCCTTTGTAGAAACTCTGATCTGAAGGGAAAGGACATGATAACTTTAACTTCGTCTATCCAGCATGGCATTGGTTTTGGCCAGCCATTTTCCATCATGACCCTTTCTCATGTTTCCATCCCACTCAGAAGATGTCTCTTTAGTTGTGTGCATTTTTTAAAATAAAGATGAAATATTTGATGCAGACATATTTTTTAGTAGGAAGCAGATTTGGTTCTGTATTTCACACCACCTCTCTCATCTTACCTAATAGGTTTTTACAGAGCCAATTATGGTACATAATGATATTGTAGCCAGCAAGCATGAAAAGAAAGATAGCTCCTGCTTCACACAATATTCAGGTCTGAAAAGAATTTGTATTGATTATGCACCACTGAATAGGAAAACTCAAGGGGTGATTTGTGTTTATAATTCATATTGTTTTATTCCAACTGTTTTTTCTTTCATAGTCAGAGAACCACAGATTTGTGAGCATGAACATCTGACCTTAACATCTTATCTTAACCACCCTCAATAAAACAGTGGTTCACTAAAACCATGGCAACATAAAATAAACATTGCTTGTTTGTCTTAAATTGTGTCTATGAAATTGTCTAGTCCAGGCTTTGGCCAACAGAGAGTTTGCATTGATGCAGTGAAAAAAATGCAGAGATCAGGCACAAAGGATATGTGGACAAAGCTGGGCATTCACAACAGTGACATGCCTGTATTTATGGTGCGTTTTGACCTAGTCACAGTGAAGGAAATCCATGTAAGTATCCTTACAGTCAACCAGATTTTAGAGGACCTGATCCTGAAACACCAGGAAACAGCCCAGTTTTTCCCAGACCTCAGCTGGAGCTGCAGCAGCCAAAATTCACCATGGCATGTAAATCAGAGGCAGCATAAACTCAGGGAGTGCCTCAGAAAGTCTGGGAGCCTGATGGACTTGTGTGATACCTGGCAGCTGCCAGGAAATGTGGAATTACTTTATACTTTCAGGTATCTTTGAAATAGGAAATCTTTGAAATGTGTCTTTTATGAGACCTCTGTGTAGCAGACATAAGATTACCTCTCTAATGGTGGCACATGTAGTTCTATTGTGAAAGTCAGACAAAGCAGGCAAATGACACCAAACTATGGAAGATAAATACTATAAGCAGCTGTAATAGAACAATCACAAGCAATTTTAGAAATGAAGAGCACTAAAAGGAAAGGGGTAAGTCAGAGGATGCACACAGGGAAAATGCAAAACTGTGTATCATTTTCCGTCCTGTTATCTCCCATAATGTCTTTGTTCTTGAGTTCCCCAAACACATTTTGGGAAAAAAGAAAGATAATAAATTATGGTTTTCCTATGATGAAAGGTTGGAGAATAATAACATTATAAGAGTTAAAGAAAGGAGGAATAAAAATAACATGAATTTTGGCAATAGTTTCTAATTTATTGTGTAAGTTTTCTAAAAAGTCCCACAGCTTTGCACTGTAATATGTCCCCAGGTAACTTTATTCATTGATTTTTGCAGTTTCATAAGCAACAGGAGACACTGTGATCTTGACTTTGCTTCAGTAATTGAACAGGAGAGAGGAACAGTTAGTGAAATATATTTATTTATGCACTATTCCTCAATCTTCTGTCTGCTCTTTCATGTTTTTTTCTCCTTTTGGTCATTATGCACAGTAGAGTTAACCTAGAGAGTTTGCATCATCAAGAGCATTTCAGAACTATAATGCATCACTAATAATGACACTGCCTATGTCTCTAGGTCGTAAGGGCTCTGCAGAACTAACCATCCGATACTCCACGCTACATTTGAAGAGATAATATTGTTCCTGTTGAAGGTTATTCTGCTGCCAAGACAAGTTCTAGGGAGGATAGGAGAGGAGAGGTGGCATCTTCATTCTGGCTGGTATCTTTATTTTGGCTGGCATCTTTACTATTGAATTACAATGGGCACTACATTTTTGAAAAGCTGTGGAAAGAGAGAATTTACAACCTCTATAGCAAACTCCTGAATCAATGATAGCTCTGACACAGGCAGTTTCTGTCTTTAGAAACGTTTAGTAAACACTGTATTTCTATGAACACATTTTTAACAATAGAGGTAGGACTTAATTCTTATTTTTCTGTGTTATGAAATCTAACCCTTGTTTGACTTGCTTATGTAGAGTACATTTTTGTTGTTCATCTATATCACATTGACTGAAGAGGCTAGAAAGATTGACTTCCCTAATTTCCTGGCATACTTGAAAGTGAAAAATCATTAAATCAGAAACAATAGGTATGAACCCTGCAGCCAGAGCCACGGCATCTTTGTCCAAGGTCAGCTACTACATCAAATGCAATGTAGGGAAGTCTCCTCTTGGAAACAAAATGGCATTTCATACAGTTATTGAATCCACAACGGAGGTTTGAGAACTATTCTGATGGGATTTTTAGGTTGATATTCTTGACTTTGGAATAATAAACTTGTAGCTAACAACAGAAATTATTCCTTCTTCTCTTACGTGACAACACACATAGGTATCTTTAAACCTTAATGTAAACCCATGATTTTTCTGTGGCTGTGGAACCCTCCTCTCCAGCCATCAGCTCCCTCTGCAGACACTGGGGAGAAGTATATGCTGCAGTGAGCCTGTGTTTATGGCAGCATTCCATAATGAGATCTATAGGAATCATACATTCCTGCTAGAGGTACAACCTAGATTCAAAACTATCTGTGCCTGGTGGTATTCTGCCTTGATCCCATGGCATAGTGTGGATGGAACGATTAAAGATCAGGGACAGGCATAGGTTTGTAACGTCATGAAAGGCAGGCAGGCAGGCAGTGAACAGGGAAAGCATATTCACTGTTTCATACAATCCCAGCACTAGAGACAGCAGGCTTGAAGCAATAAAAGGGTGTACTTTTTGACAGCACTCTAAATCACTCCCTGTTCCTGGCTGTTGTTGAGATCAGAAGTATCAGTGGGCTCCAGAGAGGACTAGACAGGTCTGTTGATGTCTGAGAAATAGGATGATTAGGGTGCAAACTCTAGCAAAGTAAATTTTTGCTAGGTGCTAGAAAGATATACCAAGGGGAGGATCCCAATTTAAATATCCTTTTTCTCAGTCCGTCACTAACAACAAATGTTGAAGACATTGCACAGAGCTAAACTTCCTATTTCTAATCCTCTGTGAGACTTCTTATGTTCTTAGGTACAACTGACTTCTGGAGATGAATAGATCCTTTTCTTGCATGTTTAAGATTAGGTCTTCATCAGAGACTGATGATTACTTTATCCAAAATTCTATTCCAAAGGTGCATGGTGACTTTGATACTTTTTCTAATACTAGTTCATGGATCATAAACCACAAAAATAGTGTCTATATGCTAATAATCACCTGTTGAAAATGAAGCTGTAGTTAACCTACATGGCTCTCTTTGTAAAGAAGGCCTAAAGGAAAGTAAAACAGGATTTTTATCCATTTCAGCTAGTGGAACTCTGTCCATGGATACACCACAGTATGGGAAGCGACACTCTCATAGTATGCTCAGTGAGCAGAAAACTACAGGGACAAGCAACCCACTTCTCTACATTGCCAGCATTCTCCTGGGCTCCTGTTAAATTGTTAACACAAAGGAGGTTTCTCTGCTTGTTCAGAGCGAGTCACTGAAGCTCTTTAAAATGCCGAATTACTCCATAGGTACATGTGTGCTGTAGGCTTTAGTAGGATTTATACCACTGTATTAGAAGTGAACACTGAAATATGGATGACTTTAAATTAATTCATCTTTTCTTTTTTTTTTTTTTTTCTAAGACTCTAATAGTAACACCTAAAATGTGTTCTGTGTACCAAAAATAAATAGCTGCCTTTTTGTTGGAGCATATGTTTGACCAAAAGGAGAGCTGGGTAGGATGACCCTGAAAACAGTGACATTTGCTATTTTTCTTTCAGAAAACATAGCTTACCCTGTCCACGTGAGCTATTTTAAAGCCCACGCAGGCACAAGCTGCCTTGGCATCACAGTAGCAATAAGAAAATGGTGTTACAGTGTTTGGCTTGCACAAACTTCCTACATTACCTAAAAATAACTAAGTAGCACATTTGGGAACTATTACGCAGGAGGTGCCTGCACAAGCTTATCGTGTGCATAATATGTTTCCTGGGTGTGTGTATACTTCTCATATGTCTTCCTGAAAATGTAGCCTTCCTGGGAGCAATTTTGAAGGATTTTCAGGATTTTTTTTGCCTTTGCTAAGATCTGTAAAAGCCTTCCAGTCACTGTGTGCAGCAGAACGGTGTGATGTCCATGTGATGCTCAGCAGCAGAAAATAGCAGGCTGTGCTCCTTCAGTCCTCCAGCAGCTCTTCCCCTTGGTGATGCACCATGACCAAACCATGGCAGTTTAGCAACAACAGGGGAAAAATTGCCAATTCCTCCCAGCAACTGACTCTAATAGGGCAACATGTCAGCATGTGTCTGACTGGAAAAGAAACCCATCTGGTAGGTGATGCTAAAATGTTGCTCATTTGGTTCAGAAAGCTTTTCTCTCTCTCTCTCTCTCTTTTTTTTTTTTTTTCCCCACAAAGATTCAAGATGTGTTACAATAAGCAGGGCTGGATAACACGAAATAATTGCTTCTAGGTGAAAAATGGAAGAGCTTACTGAGGGTTATTAAGTCCTAACTGCCCACTCAGACTTCATTTTCCTCCACCTCCATAGTCATGGGCTGAGACAGTTGGCTGAGTTATAAGGGCCAAAGAGAATACAGTGGCTAATTTTTAGGTTACGTCTAGTTTATGTAAGTCTGGTTAATCAATTCTCAATTCAATTTCCTTCCTTCCTTGCTTCCTTGCTTCCTTCCTTCCTCCCTCCCTTCCTTCCTTCCTCCCTCCCTTCCTTTTCTTTTCCCTTTTTTTTTCTTTTTCTTTTTCTTTTGTTCTCCAGGTCATATCACAGAAGTAAACAGCTTAAGTGGATGTCTCAATCCTGCAATCTTTACTTTTGCAAAAGTCCTTTTGTAACTGAGGAAATAAAAGGAGGAGGAACACACACCAGAAAATGTCCTTTTTCATGAGAAAAGCAAGTGAGCAAAATAAAGTAACATAAACAGGAAAGGAAAAGGATCTATCTCCACAGTCTCGTGAGTACAAACATCTCACCTTTATAAGAAGTTTTTCCTTTGTATTTGTGACATACTGTTTACAGCTTCCCCTTTCCAGAGTGCACAGAGAAAACTGGGAAGGTGAGTTGAGATCAACCCCTCCTTTTCTGGAGACTGGAGAACATGTTTGCACTCAGCATCATGGAATCTTACATTTTACATGAGGACTGGACTTATGGTCTTCCAACAGCTGCAAATCCACCTCATTTCCATAATAGCTCCTACACTGCAGAGCTCTTATTTTTCAACTCTATTATTTATCTATGGAGAAAAGAGACTGCTTACTCAAATTGTCTTCATCCTCCATGGTGGCTGGGCCAGGACTCAGGTACTTGAAGGGTGCTATGAAGGTTGATAGTATGCTTAGTTTTTCTAGAAGAAAACAGAAGAAAAGATACATATAAAATCAGTACTCAGTCAATGCATTCAGTTCTACTTCACAGTTTTACTGAGGTCAAAACATCTTGGCAAGTCTGTTTCTTTTTTAAAATTTTTTTCTGACTCTACAATCCCACCAAAATTCACTCAGTTTCGATGAATTTATTACAGCTGGCACACACAAATGCCAAACACACATTTCTCCTGGTTTCTGGCCCCATGTAATGTTCCTTGGCTGCACTTCCCAGCAGTAGTGCCTGAGCACTGCAGAGTGCAGGATGCTTGAACTGGTCCAGCTGGGAACAGGGGAGGTAGTCAGCCCTGGGAGAAGGGACATGAGAACTGCTCTAACGGATGAGACCATCAGCTCCAATGCATGAAACCATCAACTCCTCTTGCTTTCTCTCCCTGATGGAAATTGAAGCAGAAGTCTTAGAGAAAGCTCAAGGGTTGATGGTACAAGAGACTACAATGGCTCCTAAATCTATAAATTGTTGATATGATTTTTGGAAACCCTTATAGTGTGCACAGGAAGCTATTATTCATACAATAAGAACACTATTTGAAATCCCTCTTGTGCATATTCATATTAAGTGCTGTTCCTTTTAACAGCAGTTTCTGTTTATCCTGCAGATAGTAGATGGCAGAAACATTTACTTCCATGTGCCACGATCAGAATCTGCATAAGATGCCAGGACAGATTCAGCAAAATGAGAACTGATACTGATTTATACTAGCTTAAAATTTGGCTAAGGATTTATCTATAGGGAAATGCTGAAGTTAACACAAACACTAGAAACAGAGATTTAAATGTTTTATTTCCTTTGATAACTAGTTTATTTATCTGGACCTTTACTTTGTTTAGGCTGAATTCCTCTTGACAAACTATGGGGACCTTACTGGGGACCAATATTAACAGAATTCTACCTGACAGAAGAAACAAAACCACACCTTACAAAGGTGATCCACAGCTTTGAAGAGCTCAGTTGCTTTCCTAAAGTACTCGTCTGCTTAGAGAGCCTCAACTATGGCTGAGGAAATAGGTAGTTGAGGCTCACCTATTTCTTCAGGTGGAAATGCTCTGCATCCTGCACATTGTGAACAATACTGGCCTTTCATCCTGTGGCAGAAGCATCAAAACCAGACCAAAAATATATTCTTTCCAGTGACCCAGCAAAAAATATTTCTATGTGGACTTCCTTTATTAGTGAGAAAATATTTCTCTGAATTTCCTTAAACTACCTCTCTGCTAAACTACCACAGGTCTGGAAGATATTCCAGCTGAAGAGCTTTTAAACTTTTTCAGCAGCACATCTGTTAGCTTTTTGGCCTGATTCTTCCTACATTTGCAAATAATCCTTGCTCTTGTTAAAGACTGTTATCGGAAGCCATCAGAAATGACTGCATATGTTTGCCCTTAGCTGGGTAACACTACAGCTCAACTCTATTACGGGAATTCAGAGTAAAAGCTGACTGCTCTTTGTTAAGTAAATACAATGAGCAGAATAAAAGATTGCCTGAAGAAAACCTTTTTCCGTCCAGAAACCTTTCAGCCCAGACTAATATATAATTAGAGCACAAATTAGCCTCCTTCAATTGCAATTTCATTAAGGGATTGCAGTGATGTCAGGAACCAAAAGAATGAAGCTATTTATGAATGTTATAGCCAAAAGATTTTCCTAAGTGAATCCTTTGACACTTTTTTGCTAAGGCATTACTCACTGAGAAATGTGATGTCTCTGTATGACACCATCTCACTGCTTGTGAGACTGTTGGGTTGTGATCACAATAAAAGCTGGTGTTCACTCCTGACTTTCCCAAATGGTTTCTTTGATTAAAGTGAAAAGAGCGTAGGCTTTTGGGACCTAATCCAAAAAAACTACATTTGGTAAGGGGAATGCTTCAGATGAGAGACATAGGATCAGGGCAGCCCTTGGCTTCAGCACCAGCAATGACTGTTGTGTCTGGATACTGAGATGCAGTGAGCTGAAGTATGTGTACTCCACCTGGGCCTGAGTGCCAACAGCTGTCATATCTTCAGAACTAACCCTCACGACACTGGATGTCGCACACAAACCTAAATCTTCTTTGCTGAGAAGATACTCTCACTTCTCATAGAGAGTTAACTCATTAGCCAAACAATGAGGACATGTGCTTTCTTGCTGCAATGACTAATGCTTACTTCTGTCACCAATCAAAAAGCAAGCCCATGTAATTTTATACTATATTATTACTAGTTAAATAAATATTTTATGATTTAGTTTTGTGCAATTGATAGGCGAAATTTACTATGTGGATTTAAAATTTATCAATTTAATTTTCCTTTTGCCTTAAGGGATTGTTTAGCCATCTTAAGCTATTGTTATTACTGTTTCTCATCTGCTCCCAAAGACCTTGCTGGTACCTTTGCTTTGTGTGGCAGAGAAACAGGATGTAAAATTTGCTGCACGCTTAGAGCAGCAATGGATGGGTTTGTGTCAACCAAACTCAGGCAGGTCCTAAAAACAGGATATCCTTCCATCAATACAGATAATAAAGATTGTAGTTCAATATTTCAATCCATTGATTGAGCAATGGAAGATTTTGTGTGTGTCTGGAAGGAGGAGAAAGGCAGGATTTTGAGTGAGCTATGTAAAAAGAGAAAAGCTGTAGTTTACACGTTGCACAGATGAATCATTGAGCCTATGGAGGAGGAGAAGATAAATGACAGGGTAATTAAATGTACATGTTTACAGGGAAATAATATGGCTAGGTATAAAACTATTGGTATGATTGTGCACTTCCATCTTTTGCATGTTATTGCCTATTGTCATACAGACCATGGAGCACTATTTTTACTTTATTATCAATGGTGAAATTCAGCGTTAATTTAGTTTACCTTTTCAGAACAAGATAGGAGAGTTGTGTATTCACACTTTATGGTTCCTGTGTATGTTAATGCCCATCACAATTAGCCTTATTTGCTTAGCAGTTTGATAAAATCTTATGAATAAGAATAAAGGACAAGTTTAGATTAAAAAAAGACATTCAGAAAAATATCATTAAAGCTTCCTTTCTTCTCTCACTCTCTTCTCCTTCCATGATTTTTTTTTTTTCCAAAAAGAAGCAGTGACAGGTAGCCCAAAATTAGAGCAGCTATTTTTACTTTATAATTGTAAATGTTCTCTGTATTTGTTTTAGAGGAAGTTATTTTCCAAGGCTAGGAGAGAGGGTTTAAGAGAAGAAAGCAAGACATTTCAAACCCTCTTTTCTGCAGAAAGGCAGAATACATAACCCTACATTTATGAGAACCAATACAGGAAGATATTATTGCTTGCATTACAGTTGTACCAGAAGCCTCTGATGGTATGAAGAAGAGATTTCGTGAGGGCTTACATGGACAAAAAGGAAGCTTTGTTTACAATGGAAATTGAGAGACAAAGAGCAGATATATAGGAATTTATTTCTAGCCACCCTGAAACACTAACGCAGGATGATAGCATCATATTTTGTAGTGCATTCACTATAAAAACAGCCTTCCAAGTGGAAATCTGCTCCAGTACTCTAAGCACAAAAATCACCATTTCTCCTGAGAAGAAACCTCACTCTCCTGTTTTGGAACGGAAAAGGATTTTGGTTCACTCTTCTTAAGGATATATTTTCCAGCAATAGCAAATAGTTAAAAAAAAATCATGAACACTGTTTTGACAGTAGCCATATAAATAACTTAAACAAATAATAAAACCCCATGGGCCAAGATATGTTTTGGATGAAATACAGAAAATTATTTAGTTCGAATGATTCAGCAAAGCCTGATATATAAGGCAGGCAGCCAAGTTTCCACTAAAATCTGTTCTTTTTGTGAAGTTGCTCTTGCCCTGGAGATGTAGTCAGAAGGCTGGTCACAGGTCCTGTAAATACACTTTTATTGTGAAGACAAGAATACACATATACAGCTATAAACAGCATTCATGCCCTTCATACCTGTCAGTATTTAAAGGGCACCAGATAATACGGCTTGATCATCAACTCCACGGAAGTTCTTTCACTCTCAATCACCAGAATAAAAGCAATAGAAACAGCAGGAGCTCAACACTTTTAAAAATCAGCCCTTATAGATGTTGGACAAATTGTTTAGCTTTAAGAAGAGCAGGCTGAGTGGGGTCATAACAGCAGCCTGCAAGCACATAAAAAGCTGCTGGATAGAAGAAAGGAGCAAACTGTATTCCATGTGCATTAACACAACTAGAAGTAATGGACTTAAATTGCACCAAGGAAAATTCACTTTAGGCACTAAAAAACCCCTTCCTAACTCTAAGGATAGAGCAGTGCTGGGATGGCTTGTCTGGTTGGGAGGTTGAGGAGCTGTTGATGCTGAAGGGCTGTAGGGAAATGGTTTGGCATCTGCAGGGGGTTACACTTGTCCTTGGGCCCATTCCTTGTACTCTCCTATCCCTATGGACCTCGGTAGAAAAACTTGTCCTAACCATGAGATCCCGCAGCAGGTTCTAGTTCTTGGAAACTTGGAAAACCAGTAGTGTCTGCTAATATTGGCTAATCTCTAAGCAGAAGTTCGTGGCATGCTCTTTTGCTTGGCAGCTAATGAGAATTATTAATAATTGTTTTTTAAAAATGCAACCTCCAAAACCAAGAAGGATTAGACAGATGCAAACCAGTGGCTTACCAGATCAGTGTTAACAATATTTTACTGAATTTGTTTCGTTCTCATGTTCAAATTCATTACCATAAGCTACTTTACTTGTCAGAGGTTTCTTCAAAAGTATTCTTTTAAAAACACAATGTGGGCATTATAAACCAGTCCTAAGTAATTCGTTTGGTTTGTGTGGAGTATGAAATTACTCAGGAAGGGACAAATGTGATGCAATAGTGTAAACTCAGCTGCAAGACCTCATGGAAAAAACATTTTTTTTTTTTATTTCTCTAAAACAACTGTTGCAGCTACTTGGATAGTTACATTTTTACAGTTGTGTTAGCCTTGATTTATTTTGAAAGAGGGGGGATACAGGGAGAAGAGAGCCTGCACACCAGGAGATGATTCTTTATCTTCCTTCTCATATCTTAGTCAGTTCAGGCTTGGGCTGACAGTGACTGACAGGATGAAGCGATTCTTAACGCAGAAGAAAAATATGTCAAATTTGTGGGGAAACTAACAATGTCTTTAAACCACGGCACTTACTGAGAAGGGCTCACAGCCTTCTAAATTATGGCTTGTACAGCCACCATGCTGCATCATTTAGTTTAAGCAGCCAGTTTCTATATAGGGATTTACTGGTGTGGTGTCAGAATCAGCCTTTACAGCTGAATTTGACAACCAGCTGTTGAGTCACGGATGTCTGAGTGTACAGGGCTTCAGCAGCATTGCCCAAGTGCTTTTTGCTTCACAGGCAAGTAGGAAGGTCCTGTGTGATTCTTTTTTACACCCACACTGACAAAGCTGTGCTGGAGTGCCTGTGAATTGCCACCACAGTACCAGCGGGGCTGGGAGGACAGTCTGTCCATCTACTCCTGCCATATTTAAGTTGGAAGTGTGCCTGCCCTAAACCCCTTCAGAGGACTGATGTTTCTGTGCAGACACAGAAGCAACTTTGATACAGCTGTGTGCTTCTGCAGCAGCTCCAGTTTGGTGTCTTGCATGGGTAAGTTCAAGCCTGCATAAATTTGCAAGGGGCTGTTGGCACATACCCATTCCTCCTTGATTTCTGCTTTTTCCTCTCAGCCCTACACTGTGAGGCCTGAAGGTGAACTTTGCTGTCACCATGGACCCTTGAGAGCTGTCAGTCAATGCAACCTGAACAGCACATCTGGCTGAGCAGCCCGGGGTAGGAAAAAGAGACTGTGGACTGGAGGATATGAAAGGGTTAAAATATGTGGGACTGTTCCTGTCTGCAGCTCTGCTGCTTGGCGCCCCTGAGAGTGTGGCCTTCAAGGTGGGCAGTTACCAAAGGTCTGCTTTTTGTAATTGGTTTTCAATCCAAGGCATTTGCAGTGATATCCCACCCTGGCCCATGTGGGAACAATAGGGAAAGCTTTTCTTGGAGGTAGCAGAGGAATACGTGGAGAGAAAAAAACCTCCTGGTTAAATATGATTTTTGACTGGAACATTTTTCTTAAAAGCAGGGAGAAAAGGTAACATTCAGATTAAGGGATTTAGGTTTTTATAAGGAAAAATGTACTCAGCATTACTGGTTTTGTTCTCTGCTTCAGCAAAGACCTGAAATAAAGACATAAAATATCAGAGCACAATTTTTTTAGCCTGATAACCAGAAGGGAAGAAAAAATCAGGGAACATTTGGATAGTCAGCATTTCAGGCAAAGGTTTTCAGCTGCACGAAGCAGGTTGTGCCTTGAGTTAGAAGTCAGAGGTGTGAACCTGGAGCCATGAAATCTTCCTCTGAAACAGGGCAACAAGCTGTTCAGTACGATGCAGCACCCAGGCGCAAAAACACCTGCCCCTCTGCCTTGCCTGAAAGTTGAACGTGGTCTGCCAAGTGCAGGGGGCTTCTGTAAATAGATCTACTTGCTGCCTTTATAATTTATTTATCTAGTTCTTGGGGCACAGAATACCTTTCTGCTCTTTTCTTGTTCAGTGCTTAGCAAAATGGGATCTGTGTCCAAGATGAGAACTCTGAAATGCAATTATATTAAGTAGCAATAACAGTTTATGGTATTACGATACTGCAGAGAACATTGAATGTGAAACATCAGTTAGCTCAGGGGCCTGGCAGCTGGACTAATCCTTTGTGCATCCTGTGCATTCCAGCTGTTTGCTGACCCAGAACTGCTACCCTGGGAAAGCTTTGGAGAAGCTATGTGAAATGTTTTACCAGTGCCAACCCAGCCCCTAACAGGCAGCGGCAGGTTCATGCCCTGTGCTCTGCCTGCTCTGCAGACCTGTGTCCCACCAGCACCTCCACTCATGGCTGCACTCATTTACTCTGAGGCCAAAGCAACTTTGGTTTATCACTGAGAAAGCAGAAAGGATCAGCATAAAAGCCATGCATGTGATTTGTACGGGTTCGTCCAATATGGTCTGAGATGAATGGGAATGTGTCTAATTGATTGCATTACTCATTGGGACATTATTTCTTTCTACAGTGGTATGTCCTGCAGCTCTCTTCTCCTGCATTTTCAGAATGCAGTTGATGGGGTTTAGCTGCAGATTCACCCTATGAATGTAAATAGGCGTTTGCATAGACAAACCTCAGGGGCTGTACTTCAGCACTCCCCAACAGCACACTCCAAGCACCTTCACCATGAAAGACCATTTACAGAATGAAACGTGTTGTAAAATATTGGTTTCTTATTACTTCCAGTAAAGAGCAAAGTAAGTAAAAAAACAAGGTGGTTGATGGTTTTTTTATAAGAAAGGCATTGTGTATGTGTGTTGTTCTCTATTAGATTCCATGGAAATCAATTTGAAATCCAGTTCAACCTAGTAAAATTAGATCTAAAACTATTTAATTTTGTTGCAAGAGTGTTTCTCTCTCCTGATGCCTCGCTTGAGGAAACATGGAGATAAAAACTCTTGAGTTATTATCACTTTATGTGCATCGGTCTGCCTGTGGAGTGTACTATATTATGTATTTCTAAGTGATCTGGCTGTGGCTTGGAGATGGCAGTTTAAAAATCACATCTTTGCAAACTTCTTATGCTATTTGAACATTCATTTTGGAAATATTTTTATTTTGCATTCTATAAACTATGACAGGGTGTTATTTCCTATTTTTACCCTCATTTTTTAGGATGTCATCATTTTAGAAAACAGGAGAAGCACAGAGAATAAATTGCATAAAACCCATCAGTTCTCAATGTGTGCTGAATGGAGATGCAATGGAAAGCATAAAGATTCCCAGTGGATTTTTTAAGCATACAATAAACCTTTGTGATTAACTATGACTATTTGATTGTATGCCAAACAGTATTACCAAAGAGCAAAACTCTTCAGTCATATGGGTAACTAGTTTGGCCATGATTAAGGTGAATAGACTAGTTTCTCATTATCCTGTGTCTACATACAACTCTGCACTACTTAAGGAGACTTTGTTAAGGTGAGGTGGAAAAATTATATGAAAATTCTCTATTTGGGTTAAGAGAAGTTTGCCTATTACTAATTTAAACCTGTCAAATAAATTATGATTATGTGAAACATGAGTGGTCTCTGCCAGAGTAAGAGCACCAAAGCTAGTAATGGTATTCAAAAGAATGCCTGGAGCTGGTGAAGCTGAAGGCTGGGGAGGCAAAGTGGTTGCCTTTGCAGGCAGTAGGACTCTGCATGCAGAAGGACAGAGAGGATACAAAGCTTTGTGCTGCACTACCTGATTTTGAAATGGTTTGTCACCTTCTGAAACCAGCAGTCCAGTCAGGTACATAAATTGTAAGGTGGGGCTGAGCTGTTAAAACCAAACTTCAGTTTTCCAAACTCTGACTCCAAGTTCAGCCACCATCTGCTGTAAGAAAGACTGAACAACCCTAGGAGGGACTGATTTCATCAGCATGAACATGTACAAATAAATGCCTCCTGAGATAAGTACAATAAATGACTCCCAGAAGATGCCTACTGATTTTACTTCGGACCTGGATGATTGATTTAGACTCAAAAACCTAACTTGTGGATGTCCAAAGTTAGGAGACATGATTTCTACCCTACCTTGCCAGGAAATCTTGATCTGTGTTCTGATGAGTGTTACCACTGCCTGTGGCTGGATTATATGGTGCAGTGGGAAATGTCCTGCTTTCCTGAGCAATGTAGCCTCAGAAAGAAGGTTCTAGTGTTGACACATTTTTTTGAGAGTTTCAGTCCTTGATCTTAACAGAGCTTTGGGTAATGAACAGAATGATGTGTTACTTCAAGAGGGATCAAGTCTCCTTTATGCTCACAGAGCTCCCACTGAAGGCACTCAAAGAACTGCAAACACTGGGACTTGCTACATGGGGAAACTGAAGAAGATGTTTGTGTAGATGCAGTGTGGATGAACAACTAAGTATTCATTTTATACCTTGTAAGATGATAGTTTCACTGTAAAGTTTGGATCACCTAACATGGGCATAACAATGTGCTTTACCTCAACATGAAAAGCTCTTTTAGTTCTTTTAAGATTCCATTTTCCAACCTGCAATAACGCCCGTGAAGGCACATGCAGATATAGCTGCCCATCTTCTTTCCAAACTGACTATGAGACCAATGTGAAACAGCCCCAGCTGAGGGCAGACACTGCCTGTCAGCACTGCCGTTTGACACTGTAACTCCCTCCTTCCCAAACTGAACACCTGCTTAAACATTAGGAAATGAATGGCCTGCATCAGAAAGGTCTAGTCAGCAATTAGTGGCGAAAGGCTTTTTAAGATCTGTTCTTTGTTCATCTACTGTAAGAAGCCAAGTATGACCTCTCTCTCTTGTACTGCCATAATAATAATGCATATTTAACCTGAATCCTGCCCTAATTTATCCTTGGTAACATGAGGCAGTCTTGTGTTAAACAACCTGTCTGTGAGCAGAAAGTTAAAGACACCACCATTATAATTTAGGGGTGCTCTGAGATGCATGTGCTTACTGAGAGCAAAAATTAGCTCCAGGTGATATAAGAGGGCTGAGATTTACAGTGCTTTCCCAGACAAGATGTTACTGACAGAATTCAGGTCTGCTAATTAGGCCAGTTATTTAAGTATTTAGGTACTTAAATTCTCATTTGATCCTGTGGGAGTTAAAAGGAGTTAAGGGCTGCCCTGGGTCTGTCCTGGCTGTTGCTGATACTACAGTGCCTTTGACTACGAAGCAACTGCTCCAGTTTCACCTGTTAAGGCATAAGCCTTCAATATTTATTAAGCTTTCCATCACAGCTTGTAGAGAGTCTGATAGCCTTAGGTTCATCACTGCTACTTTGTTAGTATTTTCTTTTAACCTTTTCAGTCTTTATTCAACCCCAACACAAATGGCTTCAAATCTTTTCCTTAAGAGTGGTGACAAAGGAAAAGTTTGCTAAAGCTTTACAATGAAGGCCAAGTTTTCAGAGTGATGCGAAGGGAACCTGACACCTGACTCCCATCAACAATAATAATGGGGGTTATGCATCTAACTCTTTCTGCATTGTGCTGACATTGTACCCTTGAATGTTAGTACAGTCCAATAATTCTCCAAAGATGAGGCAGCTTATTTTCTCTGCCATTGCTGCTTTGCTGGCATTTTTATGGCATTCCCAGAAGTCCTACCTGTCAGAGTTAGTACTTCCAAGGATGGCATTGCTTTGGGGTGATTGAGGATTGATGTAATTAAAGAGAAGGCAGTCTACTGCTTGCCTGTGGGTATTTTATATTAAGCGTTTCACTGCACAGCTACGATTGATGATTTAAATGATGACAAAGTTGGGCTGCTCTGTATGGGCAACAGTGATTCGAACTGTGAGTTCAGGGATGTGAGTCCTCTACTTTGCACTGAAAATTCTGAGAATGCAGCCTCCTTACAAGCCATTTAACAAAGGAAGGTGTCTCTGCCCATGGAAAGGGGGTTGAAACGAGATGATATTTAAGGTCCTTTCCAACTGAAACCATTATATAAATAACACTACTGAAAACTTGCAGAAACTTGTCACAGGACTGGGTAGTCCCAGTCACAGCTAGGGACAAGTAAGAATTGAGAATTATTTGGAAAAGAATAGGAAAAAAATTACATCATTGAAAAAATCCCCTGGGTGCAGTTGTTGTTGTCTTAAGTGGGATCATCTGATTAAATCTACACATGGCTTTTGTATATCCACATCTGAA